AGCTTATTATTATTATTTTTTAAAAACATTGATTTACCAGGGAGAAAAATAATCTTCTACCGATATGGCAGAATATGATTCTGCTCTCTGGGGACAATTCAAAGGCCGATGTAAATTGTGGTTGAATTTTCTTAGGTACAAAATTGAAGGATAAAGACAGCAGTGTAGTGAATCATAATATTTCTAGGTGGATATAACAACCATTTGGAAGAGGCAGATGCAGAATCTTAAGAGGTCTTCAGACTTTAGTACAGCACTCACGTGTCTAGCCCAGACATAAGCAGATGTGAATTTTGCCATTGGTGTCTTCCTTGTTTTGCCAAGGCCACTATGCCGGGATGTTCCATCCTTCTTTACCTGGGTCCCTTGGGCTACTTCTACCTTTCAGGCCCACTTGGTGAAGGTTTCCTGGTGGACATCTTCTCCACTCTGGGCTGGCATCTGGTGCTTTCTAAGAGCCAGACCATTGGAAATTACTCCCTAGAGAGACAGTGTTGAGAGTGGACCACTCTCCCCTTTCTACCCAGTATGTTTGCTCACAGGGCTTTAACCTCCTGGAGCTGAATGGAGCTTGTGGAGCTGTGACATTGTGTCTAGCTTGCCTCCATGAACTGTGTTTGACCTTGTGGAATATTTTAGGAGCACGAATTTCAGGCCAGTACCAAAGTGAGGAGCAGTGATACACCTGGCTGAAGGGGCTGTGTTTTACAGCAGGTTTTCCTTGCCTGTGCTTTTGCCCTAGATCACTCTATGCAAATGACTCTTTACTTCCCTTCCCTTCATTGGTCCAGTCACGCATACGTCAGAGACTGCATGAGAGAGAAGCCTGGGATGTTACAGGTCAATCAATGTGTCAATTCAAATTTTAGCAGACTCCCAATTTCAATTACTTGACAAATGAATAACATGTTAAGGGATCAAATGACATTTAATTTAATTTTGAAATTTCCTTGAACAGATTAAAAACGAGATGTTAAAGAACAGGCTGGAAAGAAGAATGAGAGGAATCTGGGGCGGGTTGGCTTGTCATCTGTTAGATAATCAGTTTCGGAATCATGGAAAGCCAGCTTTTACTTAAGTCTTTGCGCTTTGTGTACACGTGAGTCTGGCGTGTTCTAATGATGCAGACGGGAAAGGATTCCTTTTTCCCTGGATTGTTGTCCAGGAACGAATGGCTGTAAAATGAGGCCAACCTTCTCAGAAGGACCCAAAGCCTTGCAGTATGTAGTCCTGGGTTAGGTGAGGAGGACAGCCAGGGGTATTTGTTAATACTACAACAGAGAAATTTTTATGGATGAACTTCCTGCCATCAAGCTCTGTCGTATGAGGCAACGGTAGTAAAATGTGCACTTAGTTGAGACTCAGATCTAGCTTTGCCTCTGCCATTAATTAGCTAGGAAACCTGTGATAAAAGGAAACTGCACTCATCTTCTGCAAGAGAAACCTGGAGCTTTCCTTAAACAATAACAACAACAAAAACAAAACAAAGAATGGAACCTGAATCCTCCCAGATTGGCAGTAGGAAACAAATTTCCAGATACTGAGAGCTGGCTGGATGTTTAGCCTCGACTCTGGAGATTATTTTACTAAACTTTGCTTGGGCCACACATAGTGTAGCTGCAACTCAAGGAGCAAACACCAAACCAGTTGCTGTCTAGTTGATTCGGACTCATGGGAATGCCCTGTGTTGCAAAGTAGAGCTGAACTCCACAGGGTTTCCAAGGCTGGGGTCCTTTGGAAGTAGATTACCAGGGCTTTCTTCCAAGGCACCTCTGGGTGGGTCCAAACACCCAGCTTTTTGGTGAGTAGTCAAGTGATTAACTGTTAGTGCCACCCAGGGGCTCCTCAGACAGAGAAGTCATTTTTCTCAGTCTCTATTTCCATGGCTGTAAAAGGAGGTGCCGGTAGTGTAGTGCCTAAGGCACTTGACTGCTAACCAGAAGGCTGGCGGTTCAAACCCACCAGCCACTCTTCAGAAGGAAGGTTGGGCAATCTACTTCTGTAGTGATACTGCCTCTGCAACCTAAGGAGGGGTTGCTATGAGTCGGGTCCGACTCAACGGCACATAACAACAACAACAACAAAAAGGAAGTGTTTGGTTAATAAAAACATTATAACCAAAACCCAAACCTGTTGAGTTGACTCTGACTCATAGTGACCCTACAGGGCACATAGGTAAATCTTTCCAAACTGTAAATCTTCATGGAAGCCAGAGAGTGGCTAGTGGATTTGAACCAATGACCTTCAATCAGCAGCCAAGTGATTAACCACTTTGCCACAAGGGCTCCTGATATAAACATTAGAATCTCTATGAAGGCTGACAGTTTATGGACTTCAGACTCAAAGTTGTCAACAATCTCATCAGGATATGGATGATTATCTTAGTCCCACCTCATTATAACACTCTGTTGTGGGAAAAAGATAAAGCTCTGACTTCAAGGTGGTGTACTGATTGAAGCCTTCTACTGTGTTGTGAAAAAACTCTTCAGTTCTGACTTCCCCATCTGCACTTCATGGCATCGATTCCTCTTTTGGAAGCTCCAAGTCTTCTCTTTAGTCTCTTCATGGCTGACTTCATCTCCTGGTTCCTCAGGGTGTAGATCAAGGGGTTCAGAACAGGGGAGATGACGGTGAAGGTGATGGAGACGGCTCTGTCGATGGGGAGGGCAGTGAAGGGCCTGGCATAGACATAGATGCAGGGCACAAAGTGCAGGGTCACCACAGTGATGTGGGCTGTGCAGGTGGAGATGGCTTTCCTCCTGCCATCGCCAGTGTGAGACCTCAGCATCAACAAGATGACAGTGTAGGACACCAGGAGAAGCACAAACCACAGGGTAGTGACCAGACCATTGTTGGAAATCATCAGGAGCTCAATAGCAAAGGTGTCAGTGCAGGCAAGTTTGAGGACCTGAGGGACATCACAGTAGAAGCCATCAACAACATTGGGTCCACAAAAGGGGAGTGGGAGCAACAAGGAAATCTGTACAATGGAGTGGACAAAGCCCCCCACCCAGGAGGCCACAATGAGTGCAGTGCACCGCCCCCTACTCATGATGGTCACATAGTGCAGGGGCTTGGAGATGGCCATGTAACGATCAAATGCCATCACAGAGAGAGAAAAAATGTCTGCCCCACCGAGGAGGTGAAAGAAAAACATCTGTGTGATACAACCATCAAAAGAGATGGTCTTTCTCTTTGAGAGAAGGTCTACTAGGACCTTGGGAGCAGTGATGGAGGAGAAGCAGATGTCCAAGACAGAGAGATTGCGTAGTAGAAAGTACATGGGAGTGTGAAGGCAAGACTCATAGGTGACAGTGACCATGATGGCAACATTGGCTAACACAGTTGTCACATAGACCATAGATAAAAAGAAAAATAAGAGCAAGCTCAGCTCTTGAGACTGGGTTAGTCCACAGAAAATAAATTCAGGCACCCTGGTATAATTCCTCAGGGCCATTGGATGGTTTCCTTCTCCATGCACACCTTTGAAGGAAATAATAATGTTACTAAGATAATGAAATCAAGTAAAGGTTTATTTGTTTTACAGAAATTGAAGATGCAAAAATATGGGTTCTTTTTTTGACCACATATCTTGTTCTTCATGAACTTGCTGTGTTATATGGGACAGCCATTTAATTCTGCTTGCCTCCATTCCCCCATTGATACTGAGACAGGTTTGAATTAACTAAAAAAACAAACAAACAACCCAAAAAACCCAAAGTCACTGCCATCCAGTTGCTTCTGACTTATAGCGACCCCTCCTTGGGTTTCTGAGGCGGTATTTCTATGAAAGTAGATTGCCCTGTCTTCCTTTCTTCTGGTTTGCAGTCAAATGCCTTAGGCACTACGCCACCAGAACTCCTGTTTTCAGGTGTAGGCTAGATCATTAACTGAGAGCTCTGGTAGCATAGTGCCTAAGGCTGAAGGTTCAAATCCACCAGCCACTCCTTGGAAGAAAGGTTGGGCAATCTACTTCCATAGTGATACCACCTTGGAAACCCAACTCGATGGCACATAACAACACAACAAGATCATTAACTTTCCTACTTTGGCCAGTGTTGGCCAATGGGTTCTGTAGAGCTCACTCCTAGAGGTTGCTGAGGGAGATAATATAAGGGAGGCTTAGTGGAAGGATTTGTGGGGTCCATACACCTTGGTAAGTTAGAGCAGTCTGGTTTTATTCATGTTCACTTTGTTTGTATGGCTTATAAATGTTGAAAACCATTGGAATAAACCAATCCTCAGATACCTGTCAGATACCTGTTAGAAACAATATGAAATGAATCTATTTTAATAGCATTTTATAGTTTTCAAAGCTACTGAACAACTAATTCCACTAACATTTCCTAACAGATCACTGAGATTAGAAGGGAAGGTGTTATTATTCCTGCTTTATCAACCCTGAAACTGAACTCAGAAAGGGTCGGTCAATTTTCCAAGGTCATCTAGTAAAGTAGTGGCAGAGGGGAACTAAGACAAAGTTCTCGTCATTCTTAGCTCCAGATCTCTCTACGATCCTACACTGCCTGCCAGTTTCAGAATACATAAATGCAAGAATAATATGCATAAGGAACTTTTACAGAATTTTCACAACACTTTCAGTATTTGGCTTTATTACCTCATCTGACTACTTTCTTCATTACAATGGAACTTTAGGCCAGTGCCCTTCTATTCCATCACTCGTCTGTCAGTTTGTCGTTCTGTGGTGGCTTGCATGGTGCTGTCATGCTGGCAGCTATATCACCAGTATTTCAAATTCCAGCAGGGTCACCCATGGTGCACACATTTCAATGGAATATTACAATGAAAGAGACAAAGACATGGAGGTAGAAAACCAAATGATAAGAATATGTTCGGCAAAGAATTGAAGGAAAAGTCAAGCCTTGAGTTACAATATGGAAATATGGGAAAATAAGGTAACAATTCTGAGGATGGTGCAGGACCAAGCAGTGTTTTTTATTCTATTGTACACAGGTCTATATGAGTCCAAACTGACTTGACTGCAGCTAACAACATCAACATTGGCAAAATATTGAATGACACATGAAGCATTGAAAGATGAGGGAAGGAATGCACAGAGTTACTGTAGCAGAAATAATTGGTTGACATTCAACCATTTCAGGAATTAGCAAGGAAGAAGCCCAAGCTGCACTGAAGTCACTGGAGAAAAAGAAGGCTCTAGGAATGTGCCTAAGGCATTTGACTGCTCACCAGAAGGCTGGTGGTTCAAACCCACCAGCGACTCCTTGGAAGGAAGTTTAGGCAATCTACTTCCATAGTGATATTGCCTTGGAAACCCAAGGAGGGGTTGCTATGAGTTGGATCCACTCGATGGCAGTGCATTTGTTTTTGGTTTAGGAATTGACCAAATACCAATTGAGATGTTGCAACAATCGTGTACAGTGTTGGAAGTGCTCAGTTGCCCGTGCCAAGATATTTGCCAAGGATGGCGCAGGACTGGGCAGTGTTTTGTTCTGGTCACTGTGAGTTGGAACTGACTTGATGGCATGTAACAGCAGCACCAACAGCCCTTCTGTTCCCTTTCAGAAATCACCAGGCTTCTCTTTAATTTTCTATTTTATTTCATCAGTACTCACGTTTTGGGAGTAAATAATGTGCTTAATTCAAAGAAGATGCTGAAGCTAGTGATGGGAGTAATTCTGTTCATGAAGAATCCAGAAAAGATCCAGGTATATCTTTACCTCTGTCTCCATCTCTGTTGCACCTCCATTTTCCTCACCATCCCCATACCTGTATCTACCCTTACCTTACCTTATCTTCTCTCTCTCTCTGAACATGCATCCATCCATCCAGCCAGCCAGCTATTCATCCATCCATCCATCCAGCCAGCCAGCCATTCATCCATCCATCCATCCATCCATCCAGCCAGCCAGCCATCTACCATCCATCCAACCAGCCATCCTTCTATCTACGATGTGAAATGCAAGCTTAACCCAATGGTGTAGTCAGTACATCATTTCCTCCTGCCTTCATGTTATAAAAGTTAAGCAGCAGTGGCTATTGAGTTTAGATTTTATATTTCCTGACAGAGTTAAAAATCAGTACATTGATGTCAGCACAAAATGGAAACAGTGGTCCACCATCTCACCCTATAGGCTGTAGGCACTGTTGCTACAATGTCCTGGTTGGGGAGGAAGGAGCAGATCCAACGAACAGATTTTTCAATTCATTGTATTTTGCCTATTCAAGTTAGGCCTAAGCAGTCTGTTTTCGCTTGCTAATCAAATCAGGAATAATGAAGTTCCTGAGAGGCTGAATGATTTGCAGGTCCAGGGCAAGCTAGTGGTAAAGTCACACTTTGATGTTCAGTCCAAGGCGTTTTTCCATTTCATACAGCACTTCAACAATTTCTGAGAAACCTTACCATGGTGGTAGTGACGACAAAATTAACTCACAGAGAAAAAGGCCTCGATCAATCAAAGCATCTATCTGGCCATCTGGCATCACTGTATGGACAGACGTTACCTAAATCAGTGAGCTTTGGGAGGGGAGAGCTTTCTGAAATTATTTGGCTAAAAAATCCCAAGACACACTTTGCTTCTTATTTTCCCTGCAGAAATGTGTCTTTTCTCCAGTTCATTTGGTCTGGTGAGGCCCAGCCACCTCCACAGCACCCAACTGAAAGGAGCATATTTCATTCAAAAGACTTACACCAAAGACTTACTTTCCATCTCAAAGAAGCACCCAGTGTGCAAAAAACTCTCACGAGAGTTCCACTTCCTTCTTTTCTCTCAATTAGTTC